GGGGCAGAGCCACAATCTGGTGCCTGTGCGCCCCTGCCCAGACCATGCAGGCTGCAGATCATGGCTCTGCTCTGGCCCCCACCGCAAGATCCCAGTGGCTCTGGAACAGCCCCCTGCCCTGCTGTGCGCCCTGCCAGCACAGCTAGGGCCAGTCTCTGTGGAGACTGGCCCCAGCCATGCAGGCAGGGGCAGCTAAGAAATGGAGTCCACTGCTGGGCAGATCCACTCCATTAGCTGGACTTTGCCTATCCCTGATCTAGATGCTAGAAGGCAACCATCAATCCTTCTGGATCATGGTGTATGCATGAGAGGGCACCAGGACCTTCAATGCGCATGTCTAGGCAGGAGTATGGAGGAGGCTGCCCACACCTTCCATCCCCCCTTTTAGGGCATTGAGACAGTATCCAAAGGCCAAACCAAGTCCAGATGTTCAGTGCCTGTAGTTATATGTATGTCCACAAATCAAACCCAGGTCTCCCACATGGCAAACAAGGATTCTACCACTGAACCACAGCAGCAGGACCAATTCAGACTAACCACCTGCATTTTGCATTCTTAATGACTTCAACAAACTATGTAGTAGTACTTCAGACAATGTTCTCCCAACTTGCAAAAAAATATATTTAAGAGACTTGTTTTCCTAATATCTAGTCTACTTTTTTTCCCCCCCCCTCAGGCAAGTGGTCCTTCTCCCATTACCTTCATAAGCTAAATTGTTTTTCCATACTTGTGTTCCTGAAATTTTCACATTTACAGCCCCAACACGTCTACATTGTCTTCCCTCTTCTGTAGAATTTAAGCTGCTTCAGACTCTCAGTGTCTTAGCCACAAACCACTGAATCATTTTAGCACACCCTTTCAAATACTTACACTCTTCTTGAACTGCGGAGATCCAAATCTACACATTACTGACCGTCATCCCAGAGCTACCTAAAGCCACCCTGCCTATTTGTAAGGTAGGGTGCAGGCATAAATAAAAAAAGGAGACACAAGACCAAGTACTTTTACAATGGCAAACTGCAAGATCCTCTGTGATTTGCCAAACAGCACCATCTCTAGAGCTGTCAGACTTAGTGGACAACAGAGAATAACCTAATGCTAAGCTGTTCCAAGATGCCATTTCATGGCAGCATGAAGTTAAGAGTACAAGTGAGCTACATGAATATAGCTGGAGCTCTTAGATTTCCTGACCTTAATTTGCAGAGACTTAACACTCCATAGTGATAAATATTTGACTCATGAAATTTTTAGACAAAGCAAAGAGATTGTTGCCTGTCAAGACAACTTGTGATAACTCATTGACTAAAAGGCTACTGATTGTTTACAGGCATACCTCGTTTTATTGCGCTTTGCAAATATTGCGTTTTTTACAAATTGAAGGTTTGTGGCAACCCTGCGTCGAGCAAGTCTATCAGCACCATTTTTCCAACAAATGATGGTTAGCCTTTTTTAGCAATAAAGTATTTTTTAATTAAGGTATGTACACTTTTTTTTTTAGACATAATGCTATTGCACACTTAATAGACTACAGTATAGTGTAAACATAACTTTTATATGCACTGGGAAATGAAAAAATTCGTGTGACTCGCTTTATTGCGGCGGTCTGGAACCGAACCCGCAATATCTCTGAGGTATGCCTGTACATGGATTCTTGAAAAGAACTAGGATATTCAGTTTATAAGTGTGTGCTTCAGGGGTAAATTGCAAGTGGCTCTTTACCAGAAGGCAACATACGCCATTGCAAGTTACCATGCAATTACCACTGTTTCAAGCTGAGTTACTATGTCATTATTGCAGAATAAACTACAGTCAAATATATAATTAGTCCATGTCCCCAGTGCAGATAAACCACAAAACATTAAAGCCATTAACTCTGTGTGTGAAAAGTAACTAGACATCCAACAGTCAAAAGGCAAAGGCCTCCAAATAAGGGGTAAAAAAGAGAAGATACATAAAACAAGGCAAACTCCATGTAGAAACCAAGCTACTAGAAATATTCGTTTAGGGTACTCTGTCAGAGTTACTAAGGGGCTCCTTTTTAGCTGATTCTGGCTAGTATACCTCTCATTTGAAATCAATTCCTACATCCCCCAAGAACTCCAAATAGTATCGTTTGACCCATTTTCAGCTTCAGTCTCGGAAACAGGTAAAATGTCCCCTAGTCTCTTAAATCTTCAACTTCTTTCTGCCTTTGGTCTTTTACCTAGCCAACAAAAGTGCATCTTTATAGGATGCAGTAGCAGTAATCAAGCAACTAATTGAACACCTTTTCTCTTTGTACCCCTGACAAGCAGCACCAGGAAGAAAGTGACCTTCAGTTTCACTACCACCACAAGGCTCGCAACTGCAGTAATGAAACTAACCAATACTTCCCACCAGCAGCAGAAAAACCACCAAGACTACAGCAGTTTGGGATAGCTCTGGGGGGCAGCAGGCATCTTGATAACATTTGTAGACCTGAGAAAAAAGCAACATACACCAAATTCACACCTGGCTCTCTTCACAGCCAGGAAGGGCTGAATCACTTTCATCTACAAAATAAAAGCCAAGAACATTCCCATCTCTCCCTTATTCCCCTCCCATCCCAACACAGAACACCTTGTGCATGACTGACGTCTATCTTTCACGTGGACACACAAGGGAGATCTCCTTTTTTCATCATCACTGATGCATACACCAGAGGTCATTCTGTGCCCCTTTGTATTAAAGGCCAGTCAGATAGTCTGACAGCCTCTCTCCCTGGAACGCTCCCTCTTTAAGGAAGCTATTTTTCCCCTTAGTTTACAGAAGTAGCTGCTTTACACCACATTGTCAAGTCTACCCCCTAGTTCTCCTATTGATCTTATTACTGCCCTTTATGTTTAAATGCTCAGTGCCACAATCAGCAAGATGCAATTGGTAACATCAAAAAGTTATTCATGCACACACCCACCCATCCACCTCCCAAGCTCTTTAAAGAGAGACAACATGGAATAGGAGACAAAATAAGTAACTACCATGAAAGTCACCAGATGCAGTTCCTGAGATCTACAGGCAAATTACAGATGATATTGCAGGTTATCATGTCTCAAGATAAAATGGATTACCAGAGCATCAAGCTGAGCTGTCAAAGAATATTAGGGCTGCAAGTACACTCTTAATGACAGAGTAATCTTTAAATAGATTTATGGACAGCAAATTCTATAGCAGCACTAACTGCCATGAAATTATTAGAATTTAGAAGACTTCAACTGAACTTCTCCACAAGTTTCTAACCAGAATTAAATTTACTTTGTCAACAAGGATCTAACAATCTCCTTTCTACACCTTCCTCTCACCTATGAAAATACTTTGTTTCAAACTTCAAGCTGCCTTTCGTTTAGAGAGCCGTAAAAGCTCTTCACAGACTATTAAACACCCTGTGAAATACGTAACTATCCATTTAAGATGAGGCAAAGCAAGGTAGATTCAAGAACAGAACCTGTCTCATGGTTCCCAGACTTGATTTTAGTCAAAAGACCTTCCTTCCTCTCCCACTAAGCACCTCACGGTAGCACCTGGAAAACAAGCAGAAAGGCTGCACCAAAGACTTTATGAGAATGCAGAATCAAAAACACACTAAACATTGTTTCTTTTCACTGCTAGCCGAAAATCCAATACCAAACGCATAGCGGTCACTTATTAAGTGTGCTTAATTAGATATGGGAAGGTTCTCAATCAGGTATGGGAAGCCTGCATTAGACAAAATACCTTCAGATTGTGTTTAGAAATTTTTCTCCCCAAACTTGGGGAAGGAATAAGGAAGACAGAATGAAACTGACACTGAAAGATTGATCACAAGTCTATCGGGACTCTTCAGAAAACACAACAGTGGCACAGCGTGAAGTTCTCCTGCAAGACAAGTGTGGAGTATTGGAACTTGATATTCAGAAGCAAACTATCAAGATTATAAAATAAATAAATACATAAGCCTGCACTCCCACCGTAACTTAAAGAAGGAATAATTTAAACAAGTACTGGGGAAGAGGCAGCTCCCCATGGAAATCCAGGGCACGAGTATTGTGTCCAGCAGAGCATCAGCGGGCTCAGCTATACGACAGACTTGGCCTCCCACCCTACCCTGCCTGCTGGCCTCTCACAGCCACAGCAGGAAAGAAATGTGCTTCCCGAGGAACATTTACTCAAGGCCAGACACAGGCATGAGCAAACCAGGCAGCTGCCCAGGGCCCAGACAGAAGGAAGGCTTGAAAATGGTGAAAATAATCATTATCATCATCATCTCAGGCAAAGGAGAGCCCAATACTAAAAGTTTGCCCGGGGCCGCCAGGAGTCTGGGCACGGTGCTGCATTAACTACAAATGCCTAGTCTGGCCACACTCTCAGCCAGGTCCATAAGCCCACACGACAGGGTGGGGGTGCACCCCTAGGCACCCATGAAAGTCCTTACAAGCCGGGAAGGGAGCCTGCAGTGCTGACAGCCACAAGAGCAAGTTTGAGGACAAGCAGCAACTTCACTCCCTGTCCCCAGGCACAAGCGAGAGACACGAGGGGTGCGGACATGTGCCAGGATCCTGGCAGCCAGGAGAGCAGAGTCCCCTGGGGACCCCCCGAGAGATCCTGACGAGGCCAGGCCAGCACGGGGCACCCCGGTGGGGACAGCATCACCCCCCCGGGGCCCTGGCAGCAGCTCGGAAGGAGGCGCCCTCCAGGGTGAGGGGCCGTGGGGGAGAAGGGGGTGCAGCCGGAGGCGCCAGAGGGAAGCAGGCTGTGCGGGGTCGAAGGGCGGGCGGCCCCGGCCCCGAGAGGGAACAGCGCCCCGGGCCCTGACGGAAGGTCTCCCCTCCGCCCCCGCCCCCGCCCCCGCCCCTCCACACACGCACAGGCAGCTCGAACACCCGGGCCGGGCTCTCCAGGACGACTCCGGCACTTCAGGGCCCCGGCGTCGGGGGCGCCTCCCGGCCCGACCCCCCACAGGCAGCGCCCCCTGAAGCGGACGGGAAGAGACGGTCCAATTCACTCACCCTCCGCGGCTCCCAGCGACACTCCAGCTTGCCTTCCCCCCTCCCTCCCTGCTCTACATCACTTCCGGGGATGAGGAGTCAGCTGGAGGCGCTCGGCGGTGTGACGTAAAGGAGCGTGCGGACGTCCCTGACGCCACACGTACAGCGAGGGCAGGAAAAGGGCAGACAAGCACAGCTGGCTGCGGTAGGGGGAACAGGGCTTGGCCGGCCCGAATCACTGCTCAAAGAAGGGGGGAACACGGAAGAGGATTACATCGCCCTTGATCCTGAAGGTAAAGTGGGGGAAGGGAAAGAAAGACACCCAGTGGGTGCTGAGCAGCAGTGAGAAAGGGCAAAATGAGATGGGGGACCTGCGGCAACACTCCCCCTCCCCAGCCGCGCACGTTGGTACCGGCCCGCCCGAGAGAACCTTTCGCGAGGCTGTCCAGGCACCTGGCGCGTGGGGTTGGACATGCGCAGAGCGGGTGCTCGACGTCGCTCCGCCCCCGCGGTCGGGCTCGGTTGGGTGCGCTTGAAGCTTACCCCCTCACGGCACGAAAAGCCATGGGGGGCGGGGGGCAAACAACCGTGGAGACACCGACCTGCCATGTTTAGACTGAACCAAAGTGAAATCCACGTGGCCTTTTCCTGTGACACCGCCCGCAGCACAAGGGGTCTGGACCCTGTCCGAAACAAAACGCCGCCCCTGCCCTGCAACACGTAAGTGGGTTCGTGCTCTGCTACCAGGTCCCGGCCCTCTGCCAAGTATAGACAGTAACAGGCCCGAGGCGGAATCGATTCAGTCTGCACAGTTTAGACTATCTGCGTAGGCTGAACCGATAAGCAACTGAACAGACGTTTACCGTTGATTCTGGGAACGCCTGCACTGGCCCGGGTGGGGGGAGCACTACACTGCACCGCCCTGGAGCAGACTGCGCTGCGCCTGCCCACCCTAAGACAGGAGACAGGTTTGCAAGGTATGCTGGGGTCAGTGTTGCCAGATGTAGCGTAATTATCGTATTTGTACAATAATTTCAACCCTTGTAGGACAAGTAATACTAAAAGTGTTCAAAGTGTATTACAATTGAGGCAGCATGTGCAAAACCTAGGTTGCTCTCAGGGGGTCTTAACCAGCTTAAGATTCTGGATTGCCGGAGTCTGGAACGGGCTCCCAAGGGAGGTGGTGCTCTCCCCTAACCCAGAGGTCTTTAAGAGGAGACTGGACAAGCACCTGGCTGGGGTTGTCTGACCCCAGCACTTTCTTGTCCAGGGCAGGGGGTTGGACTCGATGATCTGCCAAAGGTCCCTTCCGACCCTAAAAATCTATGAAATTTACTAAACTTTTGGGTTCGCTGTCCGCGCTTTCTTACAACCGCTTGCCTCAAAGCAAAGAAACACTTCAACGTTGATGATGACCCAGTTCTCACTGGTTTTGAATTGGGATTTGACAGGGACTAAAGTGAGGGTGAGCAAGATTTGCCATTTATCTTTAACTGGAGACTTATATGGTCGTCATACAGTTACCCACCATAACTAAATTTTAATGTGCAATAATACTAAGAGCTTTTTTTTAAATGCTATATACAGTCTTAAATCAATAGGAAACCAAAGGGGTTTTGTGCTTGCCTTGTTTGTAAATTGCAGGCGTGTACCTAATACAGTAAGTTGCAAAATAAAGTGTAGAAGATTTACAATACACAGACCTGAACCACAAAACAAAGAGAAAAGCATAATCGTAGTAATACATTCAATTTAACTAGTCAGAGAAAGAGTTCAAACATAGTGGGTAGTGTCAAGTACAGCGGCACAAGTGTGACGATCAGGGATCCTGGTTTTCTCTGATTAAAAATTGCATATTCTCTGATTAAAAACCCAAAATCTGTGATAAAAAATAAAGTCCCCCCACAGCCCCTCCCAATGCTGCTGGTACCCCGCACTCCCCACCACGGTCTCAACAGCCCTCCTGATACCCCTCACAACAGCCCCACAGACATACAGACACTGA